GCTCTGGAGCCTCAACGTTTTGCTTAGCTGACAGAAGAGTCAACTCGCCAACCTGCTCTCTGTGCCTTCTCATTCTTTCCTCAGGTGTGGCTTCTGACACGTTACCTACCTGTTCACAGTGGCAGACTCGGGCTGTCTGAAGGGCAGGGGCGAACAAAAATGAAAAGGGCACCAGCTGCATGCAGTAGGGCATCAGAGCACAGAAAGTTTATTCTAGAATGTTGGGTAGCCTATATGGCACTGCCAAATGTTTTCTCCATCTTTTTCTATAACATCCAGGAATGCACTTCATCATGTTTTCTCCAAGGGCACCACCGAGGACACTTTATAATAATAATAATAATAATACATACATTTTCTATAGCGCTTTTCAAAATACCCAAATACGCTTTACAAGGCACAGACAAACAGAACAAGCAAACAAACAAAAAAAGAACAACTGGAGAAGCTGTGCGGAATGGGAGGGTAGGGTGCATGGGTTAGCAGGTGAAGGCGAGTTTGAAGCGGTGGGTTTTGAGGGCTTGTTTGAATGATGATAGGGAGGGAGTCTCACGGATGTGGATGGGGAGGGCGTTCCAGAGGGGAGGTGGAGCAGCTGAGAAGTCCCTGTCACCCCAGGTCCGGGGCTTGGTCCTGATGGTCTTCAGAGTGTTTGCACTGGCGGACCTGAGGCAACGGGTTAGGGCGTGGAGGGGGAGGAGGTCTGAAAGGTAGGGAGGGGCCAGGTTGTTTAAGGCTTTGTAGGTGGTGAGTAGTATTTTGAAGTCTATTCTGTATTTGACCGGGAGCCAGTGGAGGTTGCGAAGGACCGGGGTGATGTGTTCATAGCGGCGGGTGGAAGTGAGCAGTCGAGCGGCAGAGTTCTGAACATATTGGAGTTTATTGAGGATTTTGTTGGGAGAACCATAGAGGATGCTGTTGCAGTAGTCGAGTCTGGAGGTTATGAGGGCATGGATGAGAATTTCGGTGGTGGCAGAGGACAGGGAGGGTCGGAGGCGTGCAATGTTCCGGAGGTGAAAGAAGGCAGTCTTGGTGATGTGGTTGGCGTGGGGTAGAAAAGAGAGGGTGGGGTCGAGGATGATACCGAGGTTGCGGACCTGGGTGGAGGGGGTGACGATGGAGCCATAAATGTTGAGGGAGAAGGGCTGGGCTGAACGGGTGAGGGAGTTAGGGCCGATGATGAGTATTTCAGATTTGTTGCAGGTGAGTTTGAGAAAGTTCTGTTGCATCCATGATTTTATATCAGTGAGACAGGTGGTGAGAGTGGAGCGGGTAACTTTATTATGTTTTCTCCACTGGAAGGGCATCCAAGGAGGCAATTCATCATGTTTTCTCCACTTCATCAGGTTTTCTCTTATGGAATGGCATCCAAGAAAGCACTTTCTCATGTTATCTTCACTGGAGGGTCTGCACCCTACAGGGCACTTTATTCAATTAATTTCAATTCAATTTATTTTGTACAGCCCAAAATCACAAATCACAAATTTGCGACATCCTCTGACCTTTGACCCTCACATCGGAACAGGAAAAACTGGGGATAAAAGAAGAAGAAACCTGAGGGAGAGCAACAGAGGAGGGATCCCTCTATCAGGATGGACAGAAGTGTGATAGATGTCATGTGTACAGAATGAACAGCATAACAGAGTTACAACACATTCAATGCATATGACAGAACCACGGCAAGAGGCAAGACCAGGGTCCAGGTATCACCAGGATCCACAGAAACCTGTGAGGAGAGAAAATACAAAGACTCTGAGGAAGAAGCAAAGTTAGTAATGTGCATTAATGGGATATCAATTCATACAGAAGGAGAGAGAGAAGAGGAGAGAGGAGCTCAGTGTATCCTAGGAAGTCCCCCGGCAATCTAGGCCAATAGCAGCATATCTCGGGGCTGGTCCAAGACAAACTACGAACCTGAGTCAGCCCTAACTATAAACCTGAGTCAGCACTAACTATAAAGCTGAGTCAGCCCTAACTATGAACCTGAGCCAGCCCTAACTATAAACC